AACAGCCCGGTCCAGCGCGCGGCTGTGGCCTCACCTCCCCGGCGGCCCAGCTGGCCCGCTTCTACGCTAGGGTTTCAATCCGCGACGTCGGATTTGATCGGACGGTTTGGCGCGCTTTGCACTCGAACAAAAACGGGACAGAGTCCCCCGACCCGAAACCTAGCGCCCCCATTCTGTTCTCTCTTCAATCTCTCTCTCTCGCCCTTCGTTTCTGTGCCGCTCGCCGTGGCACCGCGCCGCGCCCAGGGCGCCGACGACGGCGTCGACCGGCCACCGCACTACGCGGGCCTCCTTTTCACTCCGCCCTATGTTCCTCCTTGAACCCTCCTGTAACAAAGAGAGAGGCGGGGTTGAGCCCTCCTCTGCTCCACTACGCGCGACGGCACCGGTGGAGGAGCTTCGCCCCGGCCGCCGGCAACGGCATGAAAACCACCGCGCCGCCCCGCGCGGCCTTTCCTTTTTTTTCTTTTCTTCTTCTCTACCACCGTTTACAAGAACACACACACACAGAGAGAGAGAGAGATCCAGCGAGATTCCGATGCGACGTCGTGGCCATCCCCCTCGCCGGCTGCGCGTCCCCCTTGCGGTGAGCGCGCCGCCGTCGAGCGGTTTGGCTGCGGTGTACTTTGCCCCTCGCGGGGTGGTTCTTCGTCCCCGCACCTCGGCTTGCCGATGCGTGTGGGGATCGAGAGGAACAGGCGCGGCCGTACGGCGGCGCTCTTTGCCAGCGAGGCCCGAGGCCATGCTCCGGTTTACTTATTTTTTTTCTTTACTCTGCCCTGCTAGGGTTCTTTGGGGGAGGGATTTCTTTCTGTGATTTCTTTTCAACCGAAAAAGTCTAACCCGATCTGGCTGATACCATTGTTAGATCGATTTGGATCGGATAGGTTAGATTCTCCGGTAGACCTACCTTCTGCTTGTCCAGACGAGGGCGGCGGTGGAGGAGCTTCCCGTGAGCACCGCGCTAACCCTAGATCGGTAGGGATTGTAGGTGGGGATTGTGGCAGCGATTAACCTCGTGAGTCGTGCCCCGGCCCCCACCTCTGTTATATAGCACGGGTAACAGGGGCCCACCAACCATGGTTTGGTTGGGCGCCCCTGATCAGGGCGCGACTCAGGGGCCCGTTCGACCCGTTGGGTTCAAATGGGAGAGAGATCAACCTAACAGAATTATCTTGACAATTGACATGCTAGCATTTTTATTATCGCAAGTAGGATTCTTGCAATCAGATTAGCATTTGTTTTTTGTGTGGAAAAGTCAAGATTGACATAACAAACGACACATAATGCCCATAAACTGACATGGCTGCAACGCTTTGTAGATCGCAGTCGAAACAGATAGTAGTATGATGGTTGCAAGCGGCATTTGTAAGAAGGATAAATGGGAGAGCAAATGGGTTTTGATTAGAATAGCAGTACCTCGTAGGCCTCGGAGATCTTCTTGAACTTGGCCTCGGCCTCTGCCTTGTTGTCGCCGGGGTTCTTGTCGGGGTGCCACTTCATGGCCAGCCGGCGGTACGACTTCTTGAGGTCGTCCTCCGTGGCGCTCCGGTTGACCTTGAGCACGCTGTAGTAATCCAGCCCCATCTTCCCCAACGCTCATGCCAAGAAGAACCAAGGACGGACAGGAACGCACGCCGACGACCTCCCGTAACGGATCCGCACGGCGCCAACGAACCCCGACCCGCCCGGAACAAATGCGTGGAATTGGACACGATTCAGAGCAGGAGCGGCAATGGGAGGGAGGATAGCAGCGTCCCGCTTTCCCTTCCGGTGTTTGTTTTATCCAAATCCGATGGAAGCAGCCAAGATACCCGGCCAAACCAGCAGCGCGAAACGGGATCGAATTGGAAGGGGTCAAGGGGAGTTTGCGGGGAGGGAGAAGAAGAGACAAAGTGGTGTAGGAGATCTTGGAAGAAGGAGGAGGAGGAGGAGGAGGTGGTGGTGGCGGGGATGGAAGGGACGACGACGACAGCGAGAGAGAGGGGGGATGAAAGAGACAGACAGGGGGGAGACGCGTTGCGGCATTATTGGCCGTGATGCTCTCCGCCCAAATCTTCTTCCTTTCCGTGCTTTTTTGCCTTGCGGGAAGTAGCTACGCGCCATCCGCGGGCGGCGTATCACGTGGGGCCGCCATGTGGGCCAGACCAATCCACCTGGCTCCGGTTTATTCGTTGGGTGTTAGGAAGCCTCTGTTTGGCTGCTTCCAAGTGGATGCTATTTTTAAAAACCATTTTTTTTGAACCTGTGCCACACTTTATTCAACTCAAATAAGGGATACATCAGAAACAAGTTCAGCTAGAATAAACTGTGGAGGATCATTATCCCACGAGATTACAGAATTAGAATCATAACAACATCTAGCTAACTTGTGTGTCACTTGGTTTGCCCCTCTTGAACAATGAGCATAAGATACATACCCAATTCTTTGAACTAATATAAAGCAGTCACTCAAAATCGCCGAATAAGGACTCAGAATGTCCACTTCCCCCTTGCATGCTAAGATAATTTCGAGGCAGTCTGATTCAAAAGTGATATTGGAACATCCAGGTTGGTCTGCAAGCATCATACCATTTTTCAATGCCATCGCCTCAGCGGAAGGGGCACCGAGAACGTGACTAACCAGGGACGATGAACCAGCCAAAGCCTGTCCATGGTGGTTTCGAAGAACGGCCGCAGTAGCCCCGCATCCATCCTCCATAAAGCATGCGTCCACATTCATCTTATACATGTTGTGACAAGGTTTAGACCACTTCCCTTCAGTAATTTGGCTAGCACTCGAAGCCCCGGCATAATTCGTTGTTATTGCATGTATAGCCAGTGCCGATTTAGGAGGACTCGCCACCACTTCCCCCTTCACGGACTCCCTTCGTTGCCACCATATGTACCAGGCACCAACCAATATGATCTCTTGGAAGCCAATATGTTTCAATATCACAGACTTTTGCCTTTTATCTCGAAGTAAACTCTCATGGATGACACATCCAGACCGGTCTAATGCATCAGCATGTGCAATCGTCTCCTAAAGGCCCAAGGACAGCCAAACTTCTTTTGCATGATCACAAGTAAACATGAGGTGCTTCAGGTCTTCTGCACCCCTTTTACAGATCGGACAGAGCGTAGCGACTGGAATGTGACGGTTTTCCAGAACAGACATACCCGGAATAATTCCATGCAACGCCTCTCAGCCAAAGATTTTAATTTTGCTGGGCACTTGTAGCTTCCAAAGAATCTCCCAAACTGGGTTTAAAGTAGATGGTCCATCATCACATCTTCTTATACGCGCTCCAAACTGGTGCTCCCACTCCGTATAGTATGCAGACCGGACTGAAAATGAGAACGACCGAGTCTTGTGCCCGGCAATAAAGTCCTTAGTTAAATGTGTGCTCAACGAGCTCTTCAAGATTCGTTCAGCATCCATTGAGATAAAATTTTCTCGAATCAACACTTCATCCCAACTTCCTGTCCATGGATTAATCAATTCATTTACCGTTTGCAGAAGACACATGCCCCTCCTTGAAATCACCTTCCTGGATGGGCTACCAGGGATCCAGTGGTCTTCCCAAATATTGATTAGACTTCTTGAACCCACTCTCCAGATATACTCTCTCTTGAAAGTTTGTAAACCTGTTATAATGCTTTGCCAAGTAAATGAATATCCCTTCTTAGGACCCGCCTTTAATAGATTCCCATCAGGGTAATACTTAGCTCGTAGCACACGAGCACACAGAGTTTCGGGATTTGATATCAATCTCCAACTTTGCTTAGCAAGCATAGCTAGATTAAATGTGTGTAGGTCTCTGAGCCCCATGCCACCATTTTTCTTGGGAATACACATCTTCCACCATGCCCACCGATGCATCTGATTTTTCTCCCCTGTATCACCCCACCAAAACCCAGCAATGGCATCAGTAATTTCCTTACAAATTTTCTTTGGGATCTTGAAAACTGACATGGCAAAAACTGGGAGGGACTGAACTGTAGCTTTAATCAGGATCTCTTTACCCCCAAGAGATAAGATCTTTTCTTTCCAGCCATGCAGTCTGTTAATCACCCTCTCTACCAAATACATGAAGTTGTCACTTCTATCGACACCCACCATGGCAGGAAGGCCCAAATATCTATCAGACACTGGTTCAGTCATGATGTTGAGTTCAGTACATATATCAGCTTTTAGTTGGACATCCACATTTGGACTGAAGAAAATACTACACTTAGCTTCACTAACCATTTGACCAGAGTTTGCACAATAAAGATCAAGTACTTGTCTCAATGAGGTTGCATTAATCAAATTAGCTTTCATGAGGATTAAGGAGTCATCAACAAATAACAAGTGTGAAACTGATGGTGCATTTCTGCATACCCTTACCCCCTCAATGCCACGAACCTCCTCTGCATGAGCCAATAAACTTGATAACCCTTCCGCGCACAGCAAAAATAAGTACGGAGAGAGAGGGTCCCCCTGACGGAGTCCCCTAGAAGGAATGAACCGTTCCGTCTCCTGGTCATTAAATCTCACATTATATTTAACTGATGAGACACAAGCCATAAGAAGATCAACGAAGTCTTGTTGGAAACCCAACCGAAGCAGCACATTTTGAAGAAAAACCCACTCGACTCTGTCGTATGCTTTATGCATGTCAAGCTTGACCGCACAATAATCGGAATTTCCTTTTTTCTTATTCTTGATTGTGTGCATACTCTCATATGCGACAAAAATATTATCGGTAATAAGGCGTCCAGGGACGAAGGCACTTTTGACAGGAGATATAACATCATCAAGCAAGCTCTTTAGACGAACATCAATCATCTTAGATATAATCTTGTAAAGAGCAGTGCACAAGCTGATAGGCCTATACTGTGTTACCTTCTCTGGATCGTCCACTTTCGGAATGAGAATCATGATAGTGTCATTCCCCCCTTCTGAGATGATTTTTTTTTATGGATTGCCTTAAGCACTTCTTCTGTAATCGCCCCCAAGGATGTGCCAACATTTTTTAAAGAATAAAGCATGCAAACCATCTTTGCCTGGGGCCTTCAAATCACCAATAGAAAAAAGTGCTCGCTTAACATCCTCCACTGAGTAGGGCTCGCTCAATACATCATTCATCGCCTGGTCTACCCGAGGAACGACCTTCTCCAGTAACCGAGGGTCAACATCATCCACCTCCGAAGCAAGCAAACTCTCAAAATAATTCGAGATCATGGGGTTTAAATGTGCAAACCCCTCTTGCCAAACCCCCTGATTGTCCTTCAACTTCTTAATTTTGTTTCGCTGTTGTCGCATACTAGCGTAGTTGTGGAAGTACGCAGTGTTGCGGTCACCAAATTTCAACCAGTTCAATCTGCTCCTTTGTGACCAGTACACTTCTTCTTGTTCTAATAATTTCTCTATTTCTTCTGACAACTCCTTTTGTTTAGCAATGTTCTTGTCATTCATCTCTAGCCGAGTTACTTTCTCAAGCTCACTCTGAACAGATCTCAGCTTACACTTTGGGCTTTTTAAAATCGCTTTGTCCCAACGATGTAATTGTCCGTGCACAAAGCTCAACTGCTCCGTCAGGACACTGTCCAACAAATTTGGACTAGCCCAATCCCATGCTTCTTGTACCACGTCCTTGAATTTCTCCTCTTTCAACCACCTTGCCTCAAAACGTAGTACTGTAGTAGGATCCAGATCAGGCGCACTCCCCTCCCCCATGCACATGAGTATAGGAAGATGGTCAGACTTGTTATATTCAAGGTTTGTCAATATTGCATCAGCGAACTTATTGTTCCATGTCTCATTCGTCAAGGTCCTATCCAGCCTCTCTCTAATCTTACCTCTTTTCCAAGTAAACTTGTCACCAATAAAACCAAAATCCTCGAGATTACAAGCATATAATGCATCACGAAACATTTTCAGGAAACGTTGGGGCCTTGGATTGCCCCCTTCCTTCTCAAAGGAGTACAAGATTTCGTTCAAGTCTCCCATCATCAACCATGGCAGATTGCCACAAGTATTCAGATCACGTAAAGTTTGCCATGTCTGATGATTTTCTGCCCAGCTCGGCTCCCCATACATGCCGGTAAATCTCCATGCATCATCTGTTTCTGAATCCACCAAGACATCAATAAACTTGTCTGACTTAAACCGCAACGATATATTGACATCTTTCTTCCATAGTAGTAAGAGGCCACCACTTCGGCCGTCACTCCGGACGACTTCTTTGTGGTCCATCTTTAGTCGCCTCATTAAGCAATCAGCCGGGTATTCTTCTAGGTGTGTTTCGGACAGAAATAAAACATCAGGTTTTCTTCGAGAATTAACATCAAGAAGGGCCTTAACGGATGCGTCCTGTTGAAGACCACGACAATTCCAGCTAAGAAATTTCATTGCTCCTGGTCAGGTTCCGAAACAAGTCGATTTAGCAAACGAACAGAAATCAGAAAACCAACCGTAATCAGCACGATACAGAGGGACAAAAACCAATCACAACACCTTTGTAAGGCAAACGGAGTTGCGCCGGGACTGATAACCAGCTTTGCTAGACACGTGCTGGGACAAAGATTGTGCAGGCAACAGATCCTTCAAAACAGTTTGTAGC